CCTTTCTTGTGAGTTTGCATGAAACATGTAATACTAACATTGTCAGTGACATGTTTCACATCCAAAAATGAGCTATTTTAGGCCCAGTGAGTGACAAAAAGACCAAATAACCAAAAAAGATGGAAGGAACTGAACTAACAAAGCAAGATTGTTGTCTGTACCTGTCAACAATCTGCCCGCAGCCAGTTGTGAAGATGAGAGGCGAGGAGCTCCCTGTACTGCAAACTTACTGTACATTATAAAGTGTTGCACGCTTCAGGCAGCTTGTGAGTCATTTTAAGTTAAACGCCCGATTATTTTTATCGCTTACAAAAACAAAAGCTTTACAAAAGAATGCAACAAAGACAGTGTCCTCCTGTTTTTTCAGGTTGCAGCGGTGATATTAATCTGAAGGGTGCTAATGCAGCCTGGAACCAAAACTCCATCATAGATGTTGAAAGCTAAAACTAACTTATCATGTTTTAATGCATAAACAGAAGAAATAATTAAAGATAACCAAGAACAGATGCAGAAAATTAGACCAAGTGGAGACAGATGATTCGCTGTGGCGACCTGGGGGGAGGAAGAAAAGAAGAAGAAGAAAAAAAAAACAAGTGTTAAAGCTGCTGCCAGCTTCTCATTAAGGTCACCATGGTTACCGCATACCTTTAGCTCTTACACTGTAACAGAAAATGTAACAACAATAAGACTGGAACAAAAAAGTAGTAGAAGACTGGTTCCTACGCGTGTTGTAATTAAAATGTTTCTACTGTTTTCTGTGGGAGACACAAGTTAAAAACACCCTTCACTTCCAGAGAAGAAGGGAGGATGTGGTAGTCAGTAATGACTGAAGCTAAACATAAAATCATACAAGATAACAAAATACATGTAACATTTCTGTGATCTATTTAGATGTTTCTACCACAGAGGTCCAAAATCCTTCCTGGAAACCCTGATTTTCCAGAGAGTTGGCACTCCACACAGACCAGCATTTCAGTGAGCCAAACTGATGGTCTTACAGGACACGCTAAAGCTAGCGAGCATACTCGCCGGAAAGCTGACAGCTAACCAAAACAACAACAATGATGAAAAGAGAAAAAGTGCTAGCAATGACACTTCCGTTAGATTCCAACTCAAACTCCCGATAGGAGTGGTCCACATGTTTTTGCGTTGTTGCTAATATTGCTAATGCTACTTTACCGTTCTACTCTCATCACTAGTTTTTCACATCACTGCCTGGGTGTATTTTCATTGGTCATTGGTTGGAGGTTGAATTTGGTCATGAGAGTACTCAGTAAGTGGTCACTGGGCCAGTCACAATGAATAGCTACAGACAGAGGCTAACAACTCATCAGGGGGTAGGGAGGTGGGGTATTCATATGCAGTCTCTGCTCATTAAGCAACAATAAGCTGCAGCTTATAAGCTTGACCCTCCCATATTCCAGTCAGAATTGACAAATCTCCTATGATGGCAAGCAAAATATCTACGAAACAAAACAAGTCCATTTGCCTTCATTTAAACCCCTTTTGGATTACTATGACCTGGATGACTGAGAACCTTCACCAACATATAGCTACAGACCTGCAAATCACCATCACATTCATAGTTTTTGTCACAACTATTCACGACAAGAGATTTGTCTAGGACCGCTGAAAAACACAGTTTGACCCAAGATTTTGGGAGACTTCTCAGTCACCAGTAGTCACAGTGCTCTATTACAGATGAAACCATATACATTTGAATGCATGATTGATTTTTCTTTTGAAAGCTGTGGGGCATGGAATTGGACAATTTTAATGAAAAAGTGTCCTTCAGTGTTTCAGCGCTGGTGGGCCTAATAATGTCGTGATCGGTAGTGTGTGTTTGTCCTGGTGAGTCATCTTGAATCATCACGAGTGAAACTCCCAAAAGTGAGGTGTGTATCGGTCCTTCATCTGCAAACGGATTCTTCTGGAACTTCATTCAGCTTCAGGTGACAAGCTGAAGCCAGATGTGCTGTTATTAAAACGATACAGGAAATACGCTGAAAAACGTTGTTATTGTTGATTAACACTTTTGACTTTCACTTCTCTACATCACCTTCTGTGTTTGGTGATTAACGTCATTTAACTTCTGATGAAGCCAAATGAAACTGTTTGCAAAGTGTGATAAGATTAGGACCAACAGGAAACCCCTGAGATGAGAAAAAATAAATAATTAAAAAAAACAGATGAAACAAAGGAGGAGCAGGAAAAGAAATAAGATTTAATTGCACCTGCTCAAATCAGTTTACATGTTAATAGTAGGTGTGTTGCTCACCATGCACTGTCTAGGGACTGTCTGCAAAATGAATAACCTGTGGGCTATTCATATTGTGCATTGCATTAAACCCCAGCTAGAGACACAAGGACAAGGCCTGTGAGTGCACTTTTATATCTCATTTACAGAAGCAATGGGAATATTGATGTTGGCTACTGTAAACGAATAATTGTCTCATATTCAGCTCCTAATCCAACATAAATATAAATGGTCAAAGCACAAGATCTGACCATCAAAGCCGATTCTCTTCAAACTGATCCAAGCAAAAGAAGAGAGATGCTGATAAAACCAGCGTCCACCTACATGTTCATGTGTAGAGAGATCATTTGCAAACGGGAAACCAGAGGCAAAGTGTGTGTTTGACAACGGCTGTGCAGCAAACAAAGTGCTGCTCTCTGTTGGTCACCGTTGGTACTGAGGAAAACGTCACTTGATCTGCAAGCAGAAAATAACATGATGTTCCCGTTTCAGAGGAAAGGGCTTTTAGCTGCGGATAAAATACAGTTTAGGGAAACATACTCAGCTAAAAGTTTTTATAGGTGTTAGTATCAATCTGTAATCTAGTGAATAAAACCAGATTTTAAAGTTTCAGAATTTATTTAAGCCAAATGAAGACACAAAGTGTAGTTTTCCCTTGCTGCCAAATGTTGGTGCAGCTGCTGCATGGTGAGTGTAGCAGCTGCAGGAGCATTTGGTGTTCCTTAAGTTGAAATGTGCTCCATTAGGCTTTTGATTAATATCAACCTGGAATAAAAAAAAGGTGCTGCTTTGTTTATTTTGGGATGATCTCGAGTTCAGAGCCGATCTGAATAAGTGGAAGTACCTCCTGCTGAATCCCTTTTGGAAATGTTTTTAAAGACTTTTGGTTTCACCAGTTGACAAATATTTTTTTAATGACTCAGAATGTATAAAATGGAAACTGAGACTCTCATCTTCTACTCCGAGAACATTTTTCTAAACGTGCATTAAAAAATATTTTACTTCTTAACATACTTCCACATATTTAAAAGTGGGGAATTTTTTGTTGTTGAATTTTTTTAATAATTCTTTCCAATATGTTTCTGGATATTAAACTTTATGTTCTCTAAAACCCAAATGTAACTAGAAGTTCTCTTTAGAGCAAACAGACAAGAAAATAAGTTTAAAAGCGACGCAAATGTATCCATATTTTATTAATTAGGGTTAGAAATGGAGAAAAGATTCATGCAAATAAATGAATATATTTACTCAAAGTCCAAGAGGTGTGTGACATGCAAAGGAGTACGCAGAGTGTTTGCAGGAGGTGAATCCTTGCTGCGCACTGCGCCCTGACGTGAGCGCGGATGTGTCCTCGCGTGATCGTTCAGTCTCAAACCCCCAAAAGCCTAAAATACTTGTGGCAATAACACGGAGAGCCCTTCTGAACGCTGATTTATGGAGTTCAAGCCCTGGCGCGGAGGCCGCTGGTGGAGTTCCTGGGTAATGTAGGTCAAAGCAGTGACGGAGGGGTGTCCTCCGTTGAACCCGTGCTGTTTAATCCTCGTGGCAGGCCTGCAGATGGCGCGCACATCCAACCAGTGTTCTGGGTGCTTGCCACGGTACGCGCACGCACGCACACAAAACCATATCCGTAACCAGTGGGAGAGAATGAGATGGTCTGCCTCTCCTTGTACAGCTTTGAGGTCAAAGTTCAGGAGGGCAGAAAGGATCTCCGCTCCGGGACTCAGGCCCCGGGTGGATCAAGCTGGACCCAGACCGACCTTAGTTGACCTCTCTGTCCATAAAAGCTTCCGGGACTGATCCCCCCCCCCCCCCCCCCCACCTCCTCATTGTTTACTACAAAGCAAAGACAAATGCTTCATTTAAAGTGTGTAAGGCGCCTATAGGAGGATGTGGACAACGCACGCACACCTGACACTGTCTAGACAGAGGGTATTGGGGATGCTGGGGGGACCACGATAACTGTTTTGTTTTTTCTCCTCCACGTCAGTTAGAATACATCTCAGCTCTCTGGATAAATGGCAGGAAAAATAATCCACAATAAGAGGAGAAAAAAGGAGCCGCTCTCCCAAACCTGATTGGCCGGCTGAACCAACACCATTTTTTCCCTGCTCGCAAACTCGAGGTCAGCGCGGGACGTTAAAAAATAAATAAATGAGAAAATAGAAATGCGTAGAAAGTAGAAGCCACGGCAGACAATCTAGCTTGTTGGGAGAGGGCGCGTGAGTGACGGCGCGCCTAACCAATCAGCGGCCGCGGCACCGCTGGCTGGCTGTGACGGACGCGCGCCGCAGTCAATGAGAAGTTCGAACGCGTGACGGACGGAAAACCGAATGTTCCCTTGTCCTTTTGATCCAAACTGGAGAGGGGGTTAGAGCCTCGGAGTTCATTCACGTTAGCGCTCGCTGATGTGTCGTGTAGCGGAAACACACACTTATGTGTCACATAAATGCTTCATTTGTAAATGTTCTGCAGGTTTTTGCGCTCTGACCTTCACTTTACAAACATTAAGCCCCGCGCTGGCAGCAAGCAGAGAGAATACACGGAGTACAGTAGGAATACTACCACCACATCCCATAATAGAGCCGCTTTTTGTGCGACTCCCTTTGCCCTGCGATTGGGGCACTGGGATGTTGACGGCATTCTGATCCAACCCAAAGACGCTGCACGGTTCTTCCAAACGCAGCTTTAAGTGAAAAGGCGTGCCCGGCCGCTCCCCCACCTCCTCCATCACCACCACCCCTTAAAGTACTCCATGTATATAGTTAAAAAATGGGAGGGCGCACTTGAACCGAGCTGCTCTATGAAGGTAGGCTGCAGCGTGTGTTTATTGATGAGATGAAAAGAAGATGGAAGTGAGAAATGAAACAAAGTAAAAGGGGCGCACTGAAAAAGAAAAACTAAAACGTGCTTCGTCGGGGGAGAGCGAGCGAGAAGACGGGGGAGCCGCGGACACGCTATCGCGACTTTTTCAGCGAGCTTCGAAGTGCAGGTAAGAAATAGAGAAAAGTAGGAAAAGAGGACGAATTAGAGCATGTCTCCGGCTGTTATTTCTATTTATTATAGGGACGTTTCCTGTTTGGGTTTTGAACGTCGCTGACTTTGCACGAGAGATGCATAAAACGCTTCCATGTAGTTGGAGCTGGCTTTTATCTAAGTTGCGTTTTAGAGGTGCTGCTGTGGGAACCTGGCCCAACTGGACCCAAACTGAGTGTTAGTGGTCTCTGGGGCTTTTCTTGTCCATTTCTTTTCGACTACAAAAAAAAAAAAAAAAAAAAAAAAAAAGAACCAAGAAGAAGAAGAAACGGCTTGGTGTGACGCAAGTTTCCCATCTGTCGTTATAGCGTGCCCCTTTACTTTCGGATTTATATGCCCCCCCAAGCTGAGCTGCCTGGGGGTGAGGAGGGGGGACACTTGAGTAGAATCTGGTCAAAGTGTTCACAGGTCGGTTTCTCCTCTTCTGGGGAGGAGGAGGGGAAAAAAGCCCCAGCGATGCTCACATTTTACTCACAGCCTACGTGAGCCCGGAACAACTGTAGCGAGCCGACGTGCGCATTTTTGGCTTTTAGGTCAGTTATTTGAGGCAGAGGAAACGCATTTCACATCTATAGGCCCACTCCCTCGGGACGCTTTTCAATCTGTCTCACTTTGATCAACTTGCCAAAATTGTGATATATTATTTTTTTACTATCTGAGATACCCCCTCCGCAGATTTAGTTCATTTTATTTTATTTTTTTTTGTAAAATAATTAAAACTGTATTCCACAATTACTTCAAATGTCCAAAGGATTACATGCTTATTTTTTTAAATCACTTTTAGCCCATCCGAATCTCATTTTGTTCTTATTTCTATACGCGCGCTGGGCTGTTGTAGATATGGAGCCATGCATGTTCTGGTATAATTAAAGTTGCAGGAGACGCAGCCTCTTTTGCCTTTAGAGACATTTGGTTGCAAAATATTAATGGCGAACTCGTGATTCCTTTGCTCTGCATGAGTTGGCAGAACAAATAAGGGTGCTTTTAGTTTCTTTGTTTCTATATATAGTTCAATTGGAAATATTAACTGGTGACGCGTTTGGGTGATGAAACATGCATAAATAAAATGAACCAACGACTTTAATACATTCATCCAAAGGGTCACAGGGAGTTTATATCCCGAGAGCAACATGTCAGATCCGCTCATCCTGGCTCCATTTGTCGGCGCTGGAGCGTGCGTGCACGTGCGAGGCGGACAGATGTTGTCCCACAGCGCTGCCTTTTTGTCTTCTATTTTCTTGGTCGGTCAGGAATAAAAATAAATAAATGAATAAAGAAATAGACAGTGTGTTCTCAGAGTTGGGTTTTTTTACGCGCAGGTCATGTACGGTCATGTAGGAGAGGTTTCATCCCTGAGGGAGGATGAGGAGGGTGATGGTGAGGAGAGCCACGCTTGAGTCCATCTGTGAATAGATGGATGTGTGTGCGTGTGTAATTTTCAATTTTGCAGCGATCACTTCCTCACTCCGCCTTCTTTCACAGCATGATGCCTCCACAACGTAAACGGGCTCCTATAGGCTTGCAATTTGCTAGCTGCTCTTGGATGATTTATTTTTCTGAATGGACACGCAGAGCTGAGCGTGCTGCAAGAACACAGCCTCAATGTAGACTTCACCATCTGTCACAGGCTGCATGTAGTGACATATATAAGCATGCCCGAGCCTACAAACCCCACATCTATAAAATAATCCACAAAAAAGCACCTGCACTTTAATTTAATGCTTTATTTGATGGGTTTTAGAGTCATTACCTGATCTGTGAGACCCCACCAGGTGCCCCTGTTTCATCTCATCCAAATTACTAATGAATAAAATATGTATAGGCTAGTGGTGGCAGATATTACAAAACGACCATATCACTGTTTATTAACAGTGAAATCCCAATCATGGCTTTATTGTAATCTTTTAAGAATGGATTATTTTAAAATTATTTTTCAGGTGAACAATAATACAGCTTTGATGGCACAGGTTATATTTAACAGCCTCATACTAACCCATGCATGTAATGCTAACATATTGCAGTAGGTACTAATTAACAGGGATGTAAGAAAAAATGATACACTTAAATATTGCAATATTTTGGGTTATCATACTGAATCAATATTCAAAAGCAGTGGGTCATTATTTTTTTGAGAATTTACATGCAGATTTTAACTGTATTTCGTCTGTGTGGTGCAATTAAACCTCCGATGGCTAGGTGGCAGCAGTTTTTACTGCCTCTGTTCTGATGGAACAACAACATTTTGCAACTGGGGGTGTTTCTCAATGTCAAGATGCCTGGCCTCGCGAGGCAATGTCTTGCGAGGCCAGACGCCTTGCTTACGAGGACACTGTCCTTTCTTGGTCAAAGAAAACGGTTAAATGGAACAAACTTGCGGCTTCCACGGCGGTCACGTAGCATCTCTTGACACAGGAGATGAAGTTATATTTTACACGTATTAGTTTCATTATACATATATAACGAGCCTTACTTTTAAAATTGTGTATATATTTGTTAAATTAAATATTTAAGTGAGTTACTACTCGCTAGCCACCGAAGCTGCAACTAATAGGCAACTAGCCAACCATAGATAACTTCTTTGGATCTAAAAAAAAAACATTTAAAAATAGCTGACTTACATTTCAACTTGAAATTTGCCCCTGAAGTAGCTTCCGGCTTCTGATCCGCCATCCTTTTTAAAAATACTGCGGTGTATTCTGGGTAATTTTTGACCAAGGCTAGGCTACAAGACATCTCCCGTGTATTCTTGCTCAGCTAGCTAGACGGCTAACAAACGGAGAACACACGCCTCGGTAGAACATGAACATTGGAACACGTCTTGGCGGCTCCCGATGACATATCTCCTAGGCAACCGGGGCGGGGCCAAGACATCAAGGCACCCTCGATGTGTCTTGGAAGCGTCTTCCAATTCAGTCTTAAAAATTGCAAAAATCATATGGCGTTTGGTACAGCAATGTCGTATCGTCTCCCCTTTATTGGGATATTTATCGTTTTGCCACATTCTTGTGAACACACACCCATAATTATCATAAATTAGATGTTACATCACACTCTTGCAGTCATGTAAAAAAAACTGAGAAAATCATCAAATAAAAGCATCTTTGTCTTTCTGTGGTAAATGCACTATCACCAGGCAGAAATCGATCAGTGTGTCACATCTTAAATGATCCGGGTGGAAACTATTCTTAAAAATTGTTTTCCTCAGGCTTTCCAACAGATTTTCACATTATAACACTGACCCTGCAGCTTCCATACACATATACACTTTCATCAATCCCGTTCTCTGTGTGGCAGCAAAGCCCCACCCAGAGCTGATTAATATTTAACAGATCCAGGGTTATCAAGACAAATAAACCCACAAACATCAGGGAGGAAGGAGGGAGGGGCCATCATCTAATCCACACCTGGCAATCAACCCCAGTTTTCTTTGAATTTTTGCCTTCCCTCATCATCCGCTGCTTGTCACACTCCTTTCTCGTTCAACAATTTGACAAACTGTCATGAAGTGTTAATAACGTTTTACTTTGTCTTTCTGACTGATATTTGTCACGCTTTCACACGTTCTCCTCCTCCAACCTGACTATTTGGGTTATTTCAAGTGTAAAATAAAAAAAAAATCTGTGAGAATATACGTGTAACAATGTATTGAGTGTTCCTAAAAAAATATAAAAGACAAAAAACAATCATGTTGTTCTGTACTTGCACGCAGATGGCAGATGAGTATTCCAAACAGTTTTTAAGTGCAGTTGAAGAGGCAGTGTTGCCCAAACAGACAAGATAGAGACATCACTCGGCAAAGCTGAATCTCTGGCTCCTGGTTTACTCACGCGTTCCAGTTATCCTCCTTAGGCTGTTACCTGGTAATACTGGCAGCCTGCAGCTTCCTCAGTTACATTTATATATGTGTACATAATGATCGCATTTTTTATTATGTGGTAGGACGTAGTGAAGTGGTGAGAGATTGTTTACTTGAATTTTCATCAGCATTGGAAATAAAAGATCAATTTTCCCAATAAGGGAACAAAATTAAGGAGCTACTTTTTGTTGTGAATAGAATCCAGGTGTAAATATTCTAATAAAATATCCAAATACAGTAAAAACTCTTCCGGCAGCCTCCGTTAACCTTTTCAGTTGAAGTCAAACGAGCGAGGGAACTCCAAATTTCCATTTGTGTGTTTTACCGTCACACGAAATAGGCAAAGAGAGCAAATGAAAAGGGGGACTTGCACTTGAATCCATTATTGCACTTTGTCTTCTTGCACTGTTGAACACATTTGGCAGCCATTTTGGGAATGTGGTAGAGTTCCATCAATGTAACGAGCCACTTTGTGGATTGCGTCCAGAATGTCACAGGGCTTGTAATCTGCTGGCTCGTTTTTGTCTCCGGCAGTTTGTGCTTTCTGTCTTCTTTCTTCCCTTTTTTTTGTCTTCACGGGACTTGTCAGAACAAAATTCTCCAATAGAGCAAAAGTCACCTTTGATGCCAACTCATACTATTTTTTAGGCACACACCTTAAAATAACATGTCCTAAATGTATTTTCTTAACGGAGTTAAGCCTTTAATACTGTTGGTTTTCGGTGTAAAAAGATCGCAGAAAGTTTCTCACCCGGTGTTTATGGCAGAGACTTACAGAAGTTACAGCTTTAACCCTTTCAAACATACATCTTTCTTTTATTCAAAAAAATGATTTATCAAAAAACATTTTATTAGTCTCAGTGAAAACCAGGAAAGGCTAAATAAAATTATTAATATTATTAATGAAACTCATGGGTTCTTTTGTAAATTATTCTCAGGAATTTTGCAAATCTAAAAAAAGACAATAAAAAATTATTTAGAAAAATATATTTAAGTGTAGCGTTGGAGAAGGCCATGAAAGGTTAAAACACTGTACACAAGGCTCACATCGCATCAGGCTCTAAAGCTGATGTTAAATCGGTTTTCAATTGGAGAGGAGT